GCTGGCTGGCTGGCTGGCTGGCTGGCTGGCCGGCTGGCTGGTTGATTGGCTGGCTGGTTGGTTGGTTGGTTGGTTGATTGATTAATTGACTGATTGATGGACTGATCTCTCTCATTCTCTTCTAGGGATTTCTTTTTAAAGAGAATCCACAGAGTTTCCCAAAAATCAGATCCAGTTTACGGTGATCGTTTCTTAGTCGACGTGGAACTTGGTTTACAGCATAGCAACCAATCATTTCGCTTGTCAGAACACGTCTATCAGAAGAAGGGAAGTGACAAGTTGTGTTTTCCTGAAGGAATCAACTGGAACAGCCAAGCCATGGTGTACTTCATACTTCCTGTCAAAGACCAAGGACGATGGGTCTATCATTTTATCAATGAACTTACTGTTGCCAGCTTATTGACCGGTGATACGAACTTCCACGTCGTTGTTGCCGACTTTGAAAGTCAGGATATTGATATGGCCGAAGCCTTTAACACTTCTCTGTTCCGCAGCAGACACACCATCGTTAAAATGACGGGTAAATTTTACAAGACACTTGCGCTAAACGAGGCTGTCGCGCGTGTTCCAAGCGAGCATGCTATACTGTTTCTGTATGATCTTCACATCGATGTTCCTGTAGACATCATGGACAGCGTCAGAAAGGTAACGTAAAAGTGCAAATGCAATCACGTTATAAGCAGTCTCCGTATGAGTCCTAAGAGAACGATAGTTAGAATGCGTCACCTAAAGAAGCAAGAAATTACTGCTCACCGGGGAAAGAGAGAACGATGAGGGAAGGGAACCAGGAGTTGCCTCGGTAGTGTCATGTTTTTCTCCAACATCTCCTGTTCATGCTTATACTAAAGCTGGATATCAGGCTTAAACTCGAACTAGGAAAAGGAGCTGGGACTCGAGCTTGGACTCAAACTGGGACTCAAACTGGGACCAGAGCTTATACTAGAGCTGGGACTCGAACTGGGACTTGAAAGGGGACTCGAACTGGGACTAGAGCTGGGACTTGAGTCGGGACTGCAGTTGGGACTCGAGCTGGGACTCGGACCGGGTCTCGAGCTGGGACTAGAACTGAGACTCGAGCTGAGACTTGAGCTGGGACTCGAGCTGGGACTTGAGCTGGGACTCCAGCTGGGACTCGAGCTGGGACTGGGACTGGGTCTCGAGCTGGGACTCGAGCTGGGACTAATTCTGGGACTCGAGCTGGGAATCGAGCTGAGATTTGAGCTGGGACTCGAGCTGGAACTTGAACTGGGTCTTGAGCTAGGACTCGAGCCAGGATTCGTGCCAGGCAAAGGTTAAGGGCGCCTTCAACCTTTTTGTGCCTCCGAGCGTTTTGTTCACCTCTCGCTCTCCTGGAAAGGAAACGACCGCTACGCAGGCTAATGGTGTCCTGTTGGCGTTTTCGGTGACCAAAAGAATGTTTGTGGTTGCTGTATCCTGTCTTAAACCATACTCTGCGGTGCCAGCGTAAACTTTTGTTTAACAGATGTGTGGTGACAGCAGCTTTATAGACGGACTCGTAAACAAAACGTAGAATGCTTAATTACAAGGTTGAATCATCTTAGTTGTTTTAGCTTTTCAGTTTGACTCGAACTCGTTGTACCACTTCTACATGCTCAGCTTTGTACGTTATTTGTGTCTTTTAATTTTTCAGAACACCGTTGAGGGACGGATTGCCTTTTTCCCTGTGGTTGGTCGTTTACACTGTGACGGCTCGTCTACGGATCACAGAGGCTTCTGGGAACTTAACGGGTTTGGCTTGCTTGCTATATACAAGTCTGACTGGAGAAAGGTTGGCGGTAAGTGGAATTCAATTTGTTTAGGGACGCGATAAGCAGAACAACTTAATTAATAGTCCTGATGCCGGACAAAGCTGGAACTGCAATATTGCCGCAAAGCAAAACCATTATGGTCACATTACACTACCCAGGTATAACAGGAAACGGAAGGGGGTAAAATCTTTTTAACATCATCAATTTTATTATGGAATTTCCTCCCTGCAAAAAGAAGATCCAGCGAAAGCATTAATTCTTTTAAACGCAAATATATCGAGTACGTAAAGGAGGGGAAGGCTAATATTGACCGTTTTACAATCTCTTAATATTTTAACTTTTGTTCTTTTACTGCATGCATATAGTTAGCTTAATTTTAATCATATTATCAAAGTTAGGAAATATTAAATCATTGGAATTATGTATATACATATTCTTTTTGTAACTTTTTATCGGAACTTTTTACATATTGTAAATTTGTATTGTTCATACTTTGTACTGCACTTAGTTATTTTATACTTACTCGTAGATTTTTAGCACAAAGGGCCTCTAGTTTATCAGTTTATACTGTCATGAGTCACCCTCTCTTTAAATAAAGTTGATTGATTATCTCGTAAGCACACTACAAAGAGATCATACGTCATAGCAATTAAGTATGAAACATTGACGCTCTCAAGGCATGGACTGGGCTGTAAAATTTGCAAGGGGGATTGCTATGAAATTGGAGAGACTACACGATTCTGCAAAGAAAAGTAACTGTTATGTTACGGAAACCAATATTTTGTTTAGTCAGTCACTTATCTTAAAGTACCAAAAACGCGTGTACAAGACGAGTGCAAATAACTCAATTTAGGAAGGCCGCCAGAGGATGCGCGGGCGGTTT